ATATCAGATGGAGGCCAGCAATGGCAGCCCACGTTCTCCTTATAATAGATGTACTTTAAGAGGATACTAACGACTACAGATCTGTCTGTGAAAGTTTCAGGGCTAGAGCGGAGGACAAGTTCCAGTCTGGAGGGAACTAAACCCTGCGCACAGCCGGCTTCCTGTCTGGTATTGTCAGTGATGGACGCAGCCGTTGGTGAGCCTTGTTTAGATACAGATTAATGATAATGTACAAATATAGACTGAACTGTATACTAAAATGTAAATACATCGCAAATGTCCCGGGGAACGTAAGATATCTGATACATATCTGTGGATGAGATTTATATATGTTTTCTGTTTCATATAGCTTCACTTGAAGGGCACATAAAGGATTACTCTGTGGAGATATATATATATATATATATATATATATATAGTGTATATATACAGTGAAGGAAATGCGTATTTGATCCCCTGCTGATGTTGAATGTTCGCCCCTCACAAAGAAATGATCGGTCTATAAATCGAATGTTCGGTGTAACACTGAGAGACAGAATACAACAACAAATTCAGCAGAAATGCGTCTAACAAATGATGACTGATCTGCATGTTCATGAGGGAAATAGGTATTTGATCCCCTTCACAAAACATGACTTAGTACTTGGTGGCAAATCCCTTGTTGGCAATCACAGAGGTCAGACGTTTCCTGGAGTTGGCCCCCAGGTTTGCACACATCTCGGGAGGGATTTTGGCCCACTCCTCTTGGCAGATCCTCTCCAAGTCATTAAGGTTTGGTGGCTGACGTTTGGCAACTCGAACTTTCAGCTCCCTCCACAGATTTTCAATTTAAGGTCTGGAGACTGGCTAGGCCACTCCAAGACCTTAATGTGCTTCTTGAGCCGCTCCTTTGTTGCCTTGGCCGTGTGTTTTGGGTCATTGTCATGCTGGAACACCCATCCACTACCCATTTTCAATGCCCTGGCTGATTGAAAAGGTTCTCACCCAAGATTTGACGGTACATTGCCCCATCCATCGTCCCTTTGATGCAGTGCAGTTGTCCTGTCCCCTTAGCAGAGAAACACCCCCAAAGCAGAATGTTTCCACCACCATGTTTCACAGTTGGGATGGTGTTCTTGGGGTCATAGGCAGCATTCCTCCTCCTCCAAACACTGTGAGTTGAGTTGATGCCAAAGAGCTGGATTTTGGTCTCATCTGACCACAACACTTTCAACCAGTCCTCCTCTGCATCATTCAGATGTTCAGTGGCAGACTTCAGATGGGCCTGGACATGTGCTTTCTTGAGCAGAGGGACCTTGCGGGCACTGCAGGATTTCAGTCCTTGTTGGCGTAGTGTGTTATCAATTGTTTTCTTGGTGACTGTGGTCCCAGCTGACTGGAGATCATTGACAAGATCCTCACCTGTAGTTCTGGGATGATTCCTCACTGTTCTCATGATCATTGACACTCCACGAGGTGAGATCTTGCATGGTGCACCAGACCTAGGGAGACTGACACTTGTTTTGTGTTTCTTCCATTTGTGAATGATTGCACCAACTGTTGTCACCTTCTCACCAAGCTGCTTGGCCATAGTTTGGTAGCCCAGTCCAGCCTTGTGTAGGTCTACAATCTTGTCCCTGACATCCTTGGACAGCTCTTTGGTCTTTGCCATGGTGGAGAGTTTGGAATCTGATGGTTTGATTGTTCCTGTGGACAGGTGTCTTTGACATAGATTAGCAGCACTCCCTTTAAGAGACTGCTTCTAATCTCAGCTTGTTACCTGTATAAAAGACACCTGGGAGCCAGAAATCCTGCTGAATGATAGGGGATCAAATCCTTATTTCCCTCATGAACATGCAGATCAGTCATCATTTGTTAGACGCATTTCTGCTGAATTTGTTGTTGCTATTCTGTCTCTCAGTGTTACAATACACCGAACATTCGATTTTTAGACTGATAATTTCTTTGTGAGTGGGCGAACATTCAACATCAAATACTCAACTGTGTGAATATATCTCTATTTCTATCTTCACTGTGTATCTAATCCCATATCTATATCTATCTATCTATCTATCTATCCCTCCCATATCTATCTATCTATCCCTATATCTATCTATATATATCTATCTATTTGATTGTCCTTATAACTGGGAGATTAAGAAAGGGATTTTTTTTCAATACACAAAAGTGGCAACCAGAGAAATTTGAGGCGTGGCTTGGCATGTAGGTACGACATATATATATATATATATATATAATGGGTGGACTGACCCTTGAAGTCGCCCATTGTTGCTCGTTGCTGAAATAAACACACAAAACTGAATGCTCTCTAGTAAATTTTTATTTAGCAAACTTCACTCTTTAAACCAAAAAAAAATAGAATATTGTATCCTCCCCCCCACCCCCCATCTGTATTAAAAAAAAAACAAATTGTCTGAAATCTACTATTCAGGCAAACTATCAATCTCAAAGTGCTACAATGTCAGTGATTGGTCCACAGTGTGAAGTGATGCTGCTGGTGCCCAAATTAAAGGGCAATGCACAAAGAAAAAAAAAAAACAAAAGACACAGAAAAGAGGATGGAACGGGTTATTCGGTAAGGAGAGGAGCAACGTGCAAAATATGTGGCAACCAGAATTGACCTATCGCAGCCCTCGCTATGTAGCCGTGAGACCTGGTCGCTATAGCTTACTGCACTTTGCTTTACTCACTAACGCAGGCCATAGACTGTTTGTTTATTGGACGATTTTTCATCCAAAAGAATAATCGGATGATTTTCGCACTGTTAGTGGGGCAATGGCATCAGACGATTTTCGCGGTTCCTTCCCCATTTCGTTTATCGGTCATGCTGGAAAATTTGTGAAAAACGGCCGATTTTCGCAATCATTGGTGGCAACATTGGTTTACAGAACGAACAAAGTTTTGTTTTTTGGACAAAAAATCGTCCGATAAACGAACAGTCTATGGCCTGCATAACCCTGCATATGTATCAACAGTTAGGGGCCGCTGCTGACGGGATCGTGGTTGCGTCACACAGGTTTTCCATTCCTATACACATCTGTAGGAATGCAAAACCTGCTTGGGATTTAGGTGGCCCCCGGAGGCCCTAGGGATTTGGCTGCAAAGGCCAATTTACAGACCCGTGGGGCAGCTGGGGGGTGTCCACCGAAACCCACCTGAAGCAGATCAAATGCATCTATCCATGAATTCTGAAGGGTCTAATGCAGGCCATAGATGGGTCGTTAGTGGACTAAATGTTCAGCCGTTTTTCGGTATTTTGGCAGATTTTTTTTATCGGTAAAGTTGGAAAAAAAATCGGCCGACTTTGCCGATCGGCCGATTTTCGCGGCAATGATGGGCAAATTGGCCTATCTTTTACCGATAAAAAAATCTGCGCATGAGCAGTGACCTGCAAGAGGAAGACAAAAAGAAGAAGAAAAAAGAAGAAAGAGGATGAAGAAGAAGAGAAAAAGAAGAGGATGAAGAAGGAGAGAGGATGATGAGAGGAAGAGGATGGAGAAGAAGAGGATGGAGAAGAAGAAGAGGAGGATGAAGAAGAAGAGGATGAGAAAGAAGAGGATGGAGAGAAGAGGATGGAGAAGAAGAAGAAGAGGATGGAGAAGAAGAAGAGGATGAAGAAGAAGAAGAGGATGAAAAAGAAGAGGATGGAGAAGAAGAAGAGGATGGAGAAGAAGAAGAGGATGGAGAAGAAGAAGAGGATGGAGAAGAAGAAGAGGATGAAGAAAAAGGGGAAGAGAAGAAGAAGATGAGGAAGAGGATGAGGAAGAATTCCAGTCCGGCAAAAAGTGTCCCTGCAGAGAGCTCCGCTATTTCTTTGACAGTTCCTTGACATTTATAGCGGTTGCAACAATGTATCTATTTGTTTCCAAATAAAAACATCTGTATCCTAAATGGATACAAATAGATACATTGTTGCAACCGCTATAACTGTCAAGGAACTGTCAAAGAAATAGCGGAGCTCTCTGCAGGGACACTTTTTGCCGGCTGTAGACGGGATGAAAATCGGCCGATTTTTTTTTTTTTTTTTTACCGTTGCTGGTAACGTCGGCCGCTTGATCGACCGATTGTTCGTTTTTTTAAAGAAAAATCGGCCGATTTTCAACCCGTCTACGGCCTGCATTAAAAGCAGCTCTAACTGCCGTCATTGACACAGACCCACCTAGGCCGTTAAAGCATTTTTAGATTGATTTACTAATAACGGCCAATCAAATCCTTTGCCGTTACCCCCTCAAATTCCCGCTGTCATTTTCTAGTGTAGGTTAAAAACTAAATAACAATAAAAAGGTAAATGTCATGACAGGTTGACTGAATGCTGAGAGATATTAAAGGATGAAAACTATACACAGCACATGTCCTAAGTTCAGTGTCAGGACCTAGGTGTACAGAAACAAAAACTCCGAGAATTTCTCAGAACAGGAAGAGACAGATAAAAACTTGACGGAGGTAGGTCTTGCCTGCTGAATGCAAAACTACAAAAAAAAAAAAGTTTTTGGTGGAGTCGGGCTTAAGACGGCCCCAGTTTCGGGTTACAAAAGGCAATACCTGATACAGGCGGGTGTCGGCTTATACGTGTGTCTCTAGCGGGTGGTGAGCTGAATCTTGAGCTCAGGGTGCTGCTACTATCTGACCATTCCAAGTGGCTGCTGTGGCCTATCCCACCGACTCCATTGTCTCTACAGGACTGGCGGGAAGAACTACAGGGACAAGCTATCCATACCTGAGCACCAGGAGCTATTCAACCCACCACCAGCTAGAATGGTCCACCCCTCGGCAGGGTCACTTTAAAATGATATATCTGGCAATGTGGTTCTCTCATCACTATTTTTTTTCTTTTTTCATAAAAACTTTTAATTTTTTCATTGTGTAGCTTATTATAGGCCCAGTGATCTAATCACTGGGTATCTGTGCTTTTCTATGCAGTGCAGGCAGACCATGGCTGGTGGGATGGGCCAGCAGGGAGCTGTACATAGCTGCCTGTAAACATCCCAGCCTCAGTACTCCTCTCGAGTCCTTATGCAAGCAGTGGGAGGAGTTCTGCCAATGCTAAGATTCCCTGACGGGTGGGTGATAGAACGTGTTTGCATGAAGGCTGCCCCAGGACATGCCCATGTGACATCTGAGCCTCCATGATTGAAAGAAGTGAAATCCAATGAACTAAATGGCCGGGCTGTGGAGGAAATGAGGCAGCCTCTATCTGCAGCTTCTAATGCACATTGGGAGAAGCTCACAGTGTGCAGGGAAATCAGAGGAAGCCGTTTCAGTCCAGGAGAAGAGCCGCTACACCTGTGCAAGACCGGAGGGGAGGAGCCGGTACAACTGGGTGAGACTGAAGGGGAGGAGTCGGTACAACTGGGCGAGACTGAAGGGGAGGAGTCGGTACAACTGGGCGAGACTGAAGGGGAGGAGTCGGTACAAATGGGCGAGACTGAAGGGGAGGAGTCGGTACAACTGGGCGAGACTGAAGGGGAGGAGCTGGTACAACCTGGGCAAGACTGAAGGGGAGGAGCCGGTACACCTGCGCAAGACTGAAGGGGAGGAGCTGGTACACCTGCGCAAGACTGAAGGGGAGGAGCTGGTACACCTGTACGCAAGACTGAAGGGGAGGAGCCGGTACACCTGTACGAGACTGAAGGGGAGGAGCTGGTACACCTGTACGAGACTGAAGGGGAGGAGCCGATACATCTGTACGGACTGAAGGGGAGGAGCCGAGTACGGGACTGAAGGGGAGGAGCGGTACACCTGTGCAAGACTGGAGGGGAGGCTGGAGGTCGGATCTATATCCTCTGGATGAAAGGATACACTTGGTGTTATCAACTTATTAGCTTCTGGTTTGGTATAGTTGTTTTTTTTTCATTTTAAACAGATATTTAATTAATTTTTTGAACTATAAATATAAACAATTCTTTTTCAAACATTTTGTAGAAGGAGCTCCCATTGAACTGCTCTCACAATGCCTAATGGGATTTCTAGAGGGAGAAAGCAGAGTGTGTTTGCCTTCAGACTGTCACTCTCTGATTGAAACTCCACACAGCCCCTCCAAGCAGAGCAGGCAAGGAAGGGGAGGAGTCACCACTCTGACTCCTCCTAGTTGTGCTCATATTCAACTGAAATATTTGACTCCACACAGCCCCGGCAAGCAAGGAGGGGGAGGAGTCACCACTGACTCCTCCTAGTTGTGTGTATATTCACAGCCCCTGTGAGTAGAGCAGGCAAAGAAGGGGGAGGAGTCACCACTCTGACTCCTCCTAGTGTGCATATTCTGCTTTTGACCCCACACAGCCCCTCTGACCAGAGCTGGCAAGGAAGGGGAGGAGTCACCACTTTGACTCCTCCTAGTCGTGTGTATATTCAGCTTCAGCATTTGACCCCACAGAGCAAGAAAGGAGGGGGAGGAGTCACCACTCTTGACTCCTCCTAGTTGTGTGTATATTCACAGCCCGTGAGCCCAGCTGGCAAGGAAGGGGGAGGAGTCACCACTCTAACTCCTGTTGTGTATATATACACAGGGAAAGGAAGGGGGAGGAGTCACCACTGACTCCTCCTAGTTGTGTGTATATTCACAGCCCGTGAGCCCAGCCAGCAAGGAAGGGGGAGGAGTCACCACTCTGACTCCTCCTAGTCGTGTGTATATTCAGCTTCAGCATTTGACCTCTGTAAATATAAAGCAGTAAAGTGAATATGAATCGTCAGGGAAAACATAAAAGAGATTCTACAAAACACGTCCTTTCTAGGTGACATTACCCCGGATCTCACTGGAGGCGCTCCACCCCCTCTAAGTGCTATTGTTCCCCTGTAATCATGGGGAGACGACATGGAGGTGAGCCGGACCCAACACTGACACCCCATATAGCAACCATATGAGGTCCAGCTGCTAACGGCTACACACACTTCCTGGGATCAGACCCCCTGCGGGTCTGACAGTAACCAATCAGGTGGAAGCCTTCATTGGAAAGTGACAGTTGGGATCTGAAAGGTGGTTCTAGATGGAGAAGACCAGATAAGTGCTACAAAGTAATTCTAAATTCCAGAACCAGCAAATCCATACAGTGATAAAACGCAGCAGAAGGTGTAGCTACACGGGGTAGGCAGGACTACAAGTCCCATCATGCCTCTGCAAGTCATAGCTGTAACTGTCAGTTTTGCAATGCCTCATGGGAAATGTAGTTCCACAACAGCTAGAGAGCCGCAGGTTGCCCACCTCTGGTATAGTAGGATTGTGCCTGAGTTCCCTGATGGACATGAAAAGACTAAGGCTTCCTTCACATCAAATCCCATTTTGAAATCGTGAAGTCGCACAATTTCAAAATCGGGTGAGAAGCCGATTTCCTTGCGATTTGCAAGACATTTGATACAGATATCTACGCAAATCGCAACAAAGGTAGTGCATGGACTACTATAGAAATTGGTGCGGCTCCGACCAAGTGAGAACCGCACCGATGCGACTGCTGTGATAGCGGACTATAGGGTGCAACTTGGCATGTCATTTCCAAATCGCACGCCAAGTCGCATCCAGTGTGAACCAGCCGTAACCGTAGGTTCACATCTGTGCGGGTGGTGCCGCTGCGGGTCCACACGAAAATCCGTGCAGCCGCACCACCTGCACAGAGGAATGCGCACACACGGGCGGGTGATATTAGTTCTAATGGCACGCCGCCCGCACTAGGAAACGCAACCGTACTGGGAACCTCGGCTGCGTTTTCAGAAGAAGTGCTGGGACTTCTTCCCTGCGTGTCCCCGGGCACTGGAGTCCATTCAAATGAATGGGCTCTCATGCCCGTGCAAAATGCGGCCCACACGGCCGCATAGATGTGAGCCGGAGGTAAGTCACAGGTCACACCGGTGCGATTTGTGAATTGAAATCGCACCTGAAATCGTATCTAATGAATGTGAATGTCTTCACATGCGATTTGCTGCAGCGTGATTTCTACAGTAGTTCTTGCATTACTTCTTCTGCAGTTTTGTGGCGATTTCACATACATAGAACAGAATAGAAATTGCGCTGAAAATTGCAAGAAATTGTTGAAAATCTTTACAAGTAGCAATAAAGTCTTCTGAAATCGCACGCAAATCGCACGATTTTAAATCTTGTGGTGTGACCTGTGCCCAAGTGCCCGGTCATACCAGTGCGATTTGTGAATTGAAATCGCATCTAATGAATGTTTTAACGTGTGCGATTTGCTGCAACGTGATTTCTAAAGTAGTTCTGGCGTGACTTTTTCTGCAGTTTTGTTGCGATTTCACATATGTACAATATAATAAAAATCGCACTGCAAATTGCAAAACAAATCGTTGAAAATCTTTACAAGTAGCCATAAAGTCTTCTGAAAGCACATTGAAATTGCACACAAATCGCACGATTTGAAATCGCAGCGGTGTGACTAAGTGCCCGGTCATACCAGTGCGATTTGTGAATTGAAATCGCATCTAATTTATGTTGGTGTTTTAATGTGTGCGATTTGCTGCAACGCAATTTCTAAAGTAGTTCTTGCGTGACTTTTTCTGCAGTTTTGTTGCGACTTCACATACAACATAATAGAAATCGCATTGCAAATTGCAAAAAAAAAATCATTGAAAATCTTTACAAGTAGCAATAAAGTCTTCTGAAATTGCACACAAATCGCACGAAATTTGAAATCGGTGACTAAGGGCTCGTTCACGCCATGGTGTGGAGACGTCGGTTTTTCCTGCACGCGTTCTGCGAGGGCACAACACAATCAATGGTTCTCTATGCGCCTGTTCACACCACAACCTGCGGATCTGTCCTGCAACGTGCATGAAAACGGATGTCTCTGCCGTGCGTCATTTTCCATGCATGTACGGTGTGAACCAGGGGCGGACTGACAACTCATGGGGCCCCCGGGCAATAGGGGATCATGGGGCCCCCATGGGGCCCCTGGGCAATAGGGGATCATGGGGCCCCTGTGTCCTTGCCCAAACTCAGAAAAGCCTATGAAAAAGGTACCAGGGGCATCTCATGGGGCCCCCTACTGACCCCGGGCCCTCGGGCAGTGCCTGAGTTTCCAAATGGTCAGACCGCCCCTGGTGTAAACGGAGCCCTGGAACCCCCTGCAGCAGCATCTGTGACTCCTCAATGATGTGTCCAGGTAACACTTCCTAGTATACGTAGAAGCCGCTCACAGAAATCGCATTCCTCTCCCTGACTATCATTCTTTTTTTGTTTTTCCTCCAGAAGGCCTGCATCATCTTTGTTCAGGCATCATCCAGGAGCAGCGCCTACTTCCTGGAAGGAGATGCCAGCTTAGAGGTGACCACGTCAATCCTGGTGCCTGTGTTTTACAAATGCCTGACGCAGGTCAGCCCCATCTCTGTGACTTGCTACAAAGCTCTAATGTACAGTCTGAGCGATCACCGAGGAAATGCTTCCTCCTATCTGCAGCAGAAGGATGTCACTCAGCCTGGACCAGAGTATAAGGTTTGATTTTTTTTTTTTTTACTGATCAAAGAAGTAGCTTTTTTTTTTTTTTTTGTCCTGTTGTGTGTCAGGAATTTGTTCAGAAGTTGCAGACAGGTCCACTTTATTGTTCAATACTGCCAATAATAGTACTGGGCTTCCTTTATATTGGCATCCTGGTGGCTCCTGTACTGCAGGGCACAGAGTAGAAGAGGAAAGGATTGGACGGTGAGCTCCGGCTGGACACGCTGCCGTCCTTCACACAGGCTATATATGAGCAGTGTGAACAGCAAGCTTCCACAGAGCATTTACAGAGCTTTCACCGACTCCAGTGTGTAAACGCTGAACGCAGATCCTAATGGGAGGGCTGATTGCCACTTTAGGCTGCTAGCAGTTTTTCACCACTTCAATACCGGGCACTTACAACCCCTTCCTGCCCAGGCCAATTTTCAGCTTTCTGCGCTATCACACTTTGAATGACAATTGCGCGGTCATGCAACACTGTACCCATATGACATTTTTATAATTTTCTTTTTTTTTTTTTACACAAATAGAGCTTTCTTTTGGTGATATTTAGAGTGTTACTAAACCCTCCCCCGGACCCTGCATTCCCTACCCCGCATATATATATCCTCTTTCCCCGGACCCTGCATTCACTATATCCGCTCTCCGCGGACCCCGCATTCACTATATATCCGCTCTCCCCGGACCCTGCATTCACTATATCCGGTCTCCCGGACCCCGCATTCACTATATCCGCTCTCCCCGGACCCCGCATTCACTATATCCGCTCTCCCCCCGACTATATCCCCGCATTCACTATATCCGCTCTCCCGCCTCCCCGGACCCCCGCATTCACTATATCTGGTCTCCCCTGGACCCTGCATTCACTATATCTGGTCTCCCCTGGACCCCGCATTCACTATATATCCGGTCTCCCCCGGACCCCGCATTCACTATATCCGCTCTCCCCGGACCCTGCATTCACTATATCTGCTCTCCCCGGACCCTGCATTCACTATATCCGCTCTCCCGCATTCACTATATCCGCTCTCCCCGGACCCCGCATTCACCCTGCATATATATCCGCTCTCCCCGGACCCCGCATTCACTATATCCGCTCTCCCCGGACCCCGCATTCACTATATCCGCTCTCCCCGGACCCCGCATTCACTATATCCGCTCTCCCCGGACCCCGCATTCACTATATCCGGTCTCCCCTGGACCCCCTGCATTCACTATATCCTGGACTCCCCTGACCCTGCATTCACTATATCTGGTCTCCCCTGGACCCCGCATTCACTATATCCTCTCCCCGTCTCCCTGGACCCTGCATTCACTATATCCGCTCTCCCCCGGACCCTGCATTCACTATATCCTCTCCCCGAACCCTGCATTCACTATATCCTCTCCCCGGACCCCGCATTCACTATATCTGGTCTCCCACAGTACACACAACATGGAAATGCAATTATTTTAGTAAATATAAAACTGCTAAATCCCTTTTCCCATCAGCAGTATAGGGCAGTCTTGTGACTTCTATCAGTGTTCAGCAGAGCACTGGTTAAAGCTGGTAGGAGTTTTCTTTCTGGTTTAGGAGGATGCAGAACCCCTGACCTCTGAACAGTGCTGATTGGCCCTGTACTGGTCATATGCACTCTCCCAAGACAAAAAAAAAAACAACCTCTCTAGCAATACACACTAAACTGAACATGTGCAGAGTGTCTCCACATGATATGTCTTATCAGGAGATAAGAGGGGGACACTGGAAGAAGAGTAGGATCAGAGAAGACAGGATCAAACAGCATTTTTACACAATGCGGAGGATTAACCCCTTAGGTTCCACAGTGAGTATAACAAGCATGCTTTACTGCATCTACAGACTGATTGTACTGTTGGGGGTTCAGTAACACTTCAATCACCACCGTTTTTTTTTTCTATTTTTTGGGGGGAACCCCCCCCCGTGTTTTTCTTCTTTTTCATTATAACATTTTGCAAATAATATTTCTTCATAAATCTAGGCCAAAATGTATTCGGCTCCATTTCTTCGGTGAAAAGAACCCAAACCAGTGTTTATTATTTAGTCTGTAGGGAAAGTCCACCAACTATGGAGTAGATCTGAAAAATCCATCAATCCTGGTGGAGCATCTGATTCTGTGAGGCCAGATAATCCCGGGACAGTCCAAACACCCCCAAAATGACCCCTTTTTGGAAAGCAGACAGTCCATGGTAATTAGTAAGAACGCGGCATGGCGAGTTTTTTTTTTTTTTTTTTTTTTTTTTGAAGTTGTAATTTTTTGCCATAATTTTTTGGAAGAAAAATATTTAAAAAAAAATTTCATAATTTTTTTTTTTTTTTTAAAACATACTGTCACCAATGCAGTACAGTGTCATCATAAAAACTGAGGGGGAGGTGATCAGGGACACTGACTGGTGACAATATGAACAAAAATATATATTTAAAATGTTATATTTACATTTTTTTTTTAAATTTAAAAAAAATGTTTTATTACAATTATTCCTTTTTTTGTTTTTTTTTACGATTTTTTTGTTTTTTTTATACAAACTGTGACGAGCAATACAATGTTACTATGGTAACACTATACTACTCTATTGAAGTGATCAGGATTTTTTTTTTTTTTACACATTATGATTGCTTATAGCAGTGAATTTCATTGCTATAAGCAAGCATTTTACTGAGTTCAGTATGTATTGTTGTGATTGGCTGTGACTGACTACAGCGAATCACATTGTACATATGGGCTGTGATTGGTCCTGTCTGTACCATGTGATCAATGTGACCAATCGCAACTAGCAACTCAATTGTGCACAATGAAAGGAAGCCATTCATTGTTAACAATTGTCATGTGATCTGCTGTGATTGGTCACCGTGATCACATGGTACCGGCAGCAGGCTGCTACAGTGATCGGTCATCAAATGTGGCATCAAATGCACAGCGTGTTCCAGGAGGATGTCATGTGACAAGTCCCGTCCAGCCGTCATGTTACAGTAGTAAAAGTGACAGTCAACACTCACATTCAGGGGCGGACTGACCATTTGAGCACACGGGCACTGCCCAAGGGCCCGGAGTCAGTAGGGGGCCCCATGAAATGCCCCTGGTACCTTTTTATAGGCTTTTTTGGGTGTGCTTTGAGTGTGGGCAAGGACACAGGGGCCCCATGATCCCCTATTGCCCGGGGGCCCCATGAGTTGTCAGTCCGCCCCTGTTCACATTACGATCTGTGTTCAACATTTACAAACTGGAGCTCAATGATACTTTAAAAGCTGCAACAAAGCTCGCTGAAAGCTCTGAAAATGCTTTGTCAAAGCTTGCTGTTCACACTGCTCTTGTACAGCACAAGCTGAACCCTGACCGCACTGGACTTTATATTGGCATCCTGTAGTCTCCTGCACTGCACGGCACAGACTGGAACAGGAAGGGAATGCACAGTGAGCCCCGGCTCAACGCACACTTCTGTTCTAACACTGGTAACTTGCTGAAAAGAAGCAAAATTATCATGCCCGCTTGTGTGGGCGGGCTTTTGTCGGGATCAAACCAGGTTTTGCATTTCTATACAAGTCTATGAGAATGCAAAACTTGCTTGAAGCAGGTCCAATGCAAGTCAGAAGCAGGTCAAACCCACCTGACCTCAGACACGTCTCAAATCCGAAGCCCATCAACACAGGCCCTTAGTGTGCTCTGTGCGCCGGGTCACGTGTGTCTACAGGCGTACCTCCGTTTACGAATTGAATGCGTTCTCCGTCCTGTTTCGTATTGCGGAAAATTTGTAAATCGAAACGCGCTTTCCCGTAGGAATGCATTGAAAACCAATTAATCCGTTCCGGAGGTCAGAAAAAAAGTTAAAAAAAAGTATTTTATCCCTTCAAAACTCTTTATAAAGTGCACTTTAAAGGCATAAATACTGTACAGGGACATGAATAAAAATTAATTCAGAAATGCACTGAAAACCAAATAATCTGTTCCGGAGGTCAGAAAAAAGTAAAAAAAAATATATATTTTATCCCCTTCAAAACTCTTTATAAAGTGCACTTTAAAGGCATAAATACTGTACAACATGATAAAAATTAATTCAGAAATGCACTGAAAACCAATTAATCTGTTCCGGAGGTCAGAAAAAAGTAAAAAAAAATATATATTTTATCCCTTCAAAACTCTTTATAAAGTGCACTTTAAAGGCATAAATACTGTACAGGGACATGATTGAACATTTCCAGAATAGGAGCCATTCATGTCCCTGTACAGTATTTAGGCCTTTAAAGTGCACTTTATAAAGATGCAAAAACCGCTCTGACCCCTCCACACTCGACACCACGTGCTACCCACAGACTCCAGCATGCACGGGGTCGCACTATAAACCTCCCAGATGCAATGCATCCTGGGGAAACTTGCTTCGTATTGCGAAAAAAAAATTTGTAAATGCATTGAAAACCAGAAAAAAAAAAAAAAAAAAGTCTTATCTGTTCAAAACTCTTTATAAAGTGCACTTTAAAGGCACGGGGGCTGGCGCTATAAACCTCCCAGGCGCAATGCATCCTGGGGAAAATAACTGCGAAAAAAAATCGTAATCCGAGGCATTATTTTCAATGGATTTTCATTCGTAAACCGAGGTACGCCTGTATTTCAGATCCGGATTTACCACCAGCCCACCTGGCGCTCATCTCTACCACTGGAGTCCAACCATCACTAAAATACTATTTCAGTGTGGACTGTCCCTTTAAATGGTCACTCGGGTCCTAACACTGAGCCTTTGGATGTGGCTTGCTGCGACTGGGATCTAATCACTTGCAGCGATGCTGCAAATAGCAACCACTGTGCATCTCCCTACGTGGGCAGCTGCCTTGTGATTGGCACGCTCTGGAATGGGATTTGGTGATGGCAGTCGTGCCATTTTTGCTGCCCCCACCAGATTCGGCACACTTCCTCGTGACCCGCTAGCGTCTCTCCAATTTCAAATGAGGAAGGAAATACCTGCAGGAGAAGCATCAGATGAAAGCTGCCATCCGATGTCTTCTGGGCACAACGATCGGTGTCCGTTGAGACACCAGGTCACGTAAGCAGCCCAGGAGTCAGACAACTGAACAGCTTCCATCACGTGCTTCTAACGCAGATATTTTGATTGGCTGATACAGGCAACCACATCCCATTGCGCCATGTTGACGCAGCACAGCGTGTTTCAGGGTCGGGGTGGTGCCATGATATGAATAGAAGGATGGAGGTAATACAAGACAGACCTAATGAAAGCCAAAGAGTCTTCCAGGAGTTCAGGAGACCAACAAGTATCCTGGAGGCCCGCTGATGGAACTTTTTTGCTATTGTTACGGTACAATGTAAAAAATGAAAACGAATATTGGATGTGAGGATTGAGTTGGTTGTGGCGGATATCGCCGACAGCGGAATGATCTGACTGTAGGTTATAACGAATACTATCTGTGTAATCCATACATTCTGCATTAACACTGAGGGAAGCAATGTAGCCATCTGCAGCACTGATGTGGGTCAGTGAGGGCTGTGTGCACTCTGTGCCCTTAACTGAAATCACTGGATATTGAGAGATTCTGCTGCTTAAATAAACGTGAAAAACGAGGCACTGGATACAGATTTTCATTGAATTAAACTGAATCATCACTAGGCACGCTAATTTGTGACCCTCCACACAGCGGGCACACTCCCAGAGCTAAGAACCAACATAGAGTCTAATAGCCTTTCTCAACCATTTTACCCCAAACCTGTACCTCTTGATATATTTTCAAATCTTAGGGGGAACACCTGCTAGAAAGAATTCATTGGAGGCCAGTGGGGAGAATGGCTCTAACATTGGTGGTTAGTGGTAAAGATGTCCCACTTAAATTGATGGTCGGTGGGAAGAATGTCTCTTACATTGGTGGGAAGGATGTCTCACTTACATTGGTGGTCGGTGGGAAGGATGTCTCACTTACATTGGTGGGAAGGATGTCTCACTTACATTGGTGGTCGGTGGGAAGGATGTCTCACTTACATTGGTGGGAAGGATGTCTCACTT